GAATCCGAGAACTAAGTGCAGTGCTTGAGTTGCCGTTATCCAGGCCTCGGGAACAGCGGCGCACTGCTCGTGCGTCAAGCCCTTTGGCTTGTGCAGCAGCATCTTTGTGTTGACGGCGATGTACTCGGCATAAGCGCCACCGTACGCAAGACCAAATACCTCATCGCCGACGTTGAAGCCGTTGTGGCTCTCTGATCCAAACGATTCAATGGTGCCGCTGAACTCGACGCCGAGAGTCTTGGGAGCACCCTGAGGGACGGGATAGAAGCCGCGGCGCTGGATAATGTCCATGCGGTTGATGCCAAAGGCGGCGATCTTGACGATGGCCTGGCCCGGTGAGGGGACGGGCTTGGGGGTTTCAGCGTTGATGAAGAGGGCGTCTCTCTCGCCTTTCCCGCCCTTGATGTCTATTGCGCATGTGTTAGTTGCTGTATGTCTATGTTGTTTCGGATGGCTTGATGGCGCCTGTAAGACGGCGTACCAACTGCACGCATTGTGGCGGCCATTTGTTTCCTAGTATTGCAAGTTTTGTTGGATTGACAGAGCAAAAGCCGAATTACTGTAATGGGTATCTACTGCAAAACTATCTCGATTCAATTCACGAACACAGTTCCTTCTATGACTCCATCTTTAAGTGAAAAAATATTGCGTCACAAACCCACCTATTCAGCACTCACTGTGCCTAGGCAAATAGGCAAATCAATTAGTAATGCAGTGAGGAGTCGGAGGGCAAACGAAGTCCCGGCAGCTCCTCTTTGTGCGGGCCATTTTTTGCCGAATGCCGACGAAAGGGCTCGAAATACCTGCCATTGCCTGTTGAATCTTGAAGCAAACTCTGAGGTTGAAGCAATTCAGACTCTGGTTTCTAATGGGATTGCATAGGTAAGATACGAATTGTTTGGATTACGATAGCATACATGTACATGTAAGCTTGTGCTACTTTTGCCGAGGTTGTGTCTGTTGCTGGCTGAGTCAGTCAGTCAGACTGCCTTTGGCAACAACAGCATGTTCCGGTTTAATGTTTCAATGCAACTGCTAATTGACTAAGAAGTGTTCCTTATATTAAACGGCATCTTGTACAATACTACTCTCACCGCCCGGCTGCTATTTATTTTGTCTTTGAAAGCGGCTATTAGCGTGCTGTGCAAATTAAATGAATATTGGACGGTTTCAATGCATGTTATCGCCGACATCCCATCCGATAGTTTCAATAATACCTAGTAACATTGGCAGAGTAAGCATGTGTCGATATCAGACATTAGACTGAGCCAGCATGACATTGAACCGAAACACGGCAGCCGCCATTGTCATATTTCACAAGTGATGAGGAGATCCAAAACATGCGTCGCTCCCATAATCTCTTGGTGAGGTGAGCCATCAAAACAATTCAACTTGTATGTACTCGTATTGTTAGTTGATACCCCAGTTCTTGTCTCAAAACTTGTGAGACATTGTAGTCTCGAGTGGTTTTGGTTTTGCGACAGACTTGACGTTGCCTGAGGGATTTAGACGGTTGTTGCCGCGGCCCTCGGACACGACATTGGCCCCATTCAGAAGTCACAATAGGCTTTCGTGCCGTGCTTTTACATTTGGTGGCAAAAATTGAGATTGCTGCCGTCGACTCGTTCTCTAATTGAAGTGCTACTGATATGAGAGCATGATAACACGGCTTCTGTCGACATTACTGTAAAACATTGATGCATCGCACAGCCACCCAACTAACGCCAATCTAGGCGCGGACACCTGCATCTTATCGGAGAGCCAAGCTCCTAGCTCAATTTCAACCGACGGAGCACATACAGTAGACTGGCTATCTTCCCGAAACAGCGGCAGCATTTGATAGCATCAAGTGGAAATTAGCAGATGCAACACCAGCCCGTTGGAAGCGCCATGTACGAGTATGAAAGGCGCCGGTGTGGACTCGGGGCAATGAGACAAAATGTAGGGCAGCTCCGTATCAAAAGGTTCTTGTTATGATTGTGACTGATGCTAGTTCACAGTCTGCTGCGAGACAGCGCGGAAGAGCCGATTTGCCGAACTTGGCTTGACAGTCAAGCTTTTGGGGGCGCTTGGTTGTCTATCCACTTTGGTGTCGGTCGGTAATTGCTCATGTTTAATGGCCTTTGATGTGACTCCATACAGTGCCTATTGCATACGAGATACGAGGACCATGTTTCTATCAACAATCGTTGTTCGAATCTAAAGCCCATCTTGGATAAAGATGTTGCGATATTGTAGCTACAAGTACGAAGATTTGATACTCTGTACGAGTGTATCGTATCGTATCCACCGATACTTTGTATATCCGATGAACGGAGTCATGTCAACGCTCGTATATAATTATAGAAATGGAAGTGGAAGCCAAAGATGGTAGTCTATGCGCCAGTCGATAAGGACTGAAGATCCCTCGCAACTCGGTCCCCGACGACTCCGGTGATCGCCGCCCAGACATGCTTTTTCGAAGCATATCCTCGTACTAGAAGCATCAGCAGAAGGAAAAAGAAAAGAGCGGTCGATCAGGATCGCTGGCTGAAATCGAGATGGATCAGGGGCCGCGTCGATGATCGTTGCCCAGAGAGAGAGAAAGAGCCGAACAACAACAACAAACGGAACAACCGCCTTGCAGCAGGAATACGCCCGTCAACGAGACGGTGAGACCTCGTAAACACCGAATAGACGTACGATACGGGCACGGCAACAACAATAACGCTGGCCTTCCCCCCCTTGCCTTGCCTGCGCGCACAAGACATGCATGAGAGACGGTCTCTCCCCTATTTCCTGTCGCAAGCGAAGACAAGCCATGCAAGAGAAAAACCGGATGAGTGGCCAGCATCCTGGAAGGGGAGTGGATAAGCGGGAAATGAGCGGAGGGTCGTTCGGCGTCGGCGCGACAAGATTCAGTGAGATGGTTCGCTGGACCTTGCAGTGGCCTGGCTCACCGACGGAGCACAGCACAGCACCAGCAGCACAGGGCATGTCACCTAGCGGCGGTGCTACTGCTAAGTGCTGGCACTACAGCACAGGTGCGGTACTGCTAGTTCTGGTTAACGGCACGCACAAAGATCAAATTGATTGATGCCTGAGAGCTACTGTAGTCAGTGGCGATATCTTGTATTGACAGTACCTGTACCTTGTTATTAGCTGTGGTCCCTCCGAAGCCGCCAGAGTCACAGATTGAAAACATCCTTCAATGCCGACGGAGGTGATCCATCAACTGCGAAAAAGAAAGAAAAAAAAGCGGAACCCGGGCTCGCTCCCCGTCCAATTGGCATCTGTCGCTTGCACCTCGAGACACGTGATTCACCTTGGTTCCTCCATGTTTAGAAAGGAAAGCCGTGGTGCTGCTTGCTGGTACGAGTAAAGTAACGCCTCCACGCCCACACATAAACGAGGCCCCCGTAATAATAATCAGTCCGCATTGACGGTGGAAATTTTTCAAGACCTGCTTTGATAGGCGGGCGAGCCCAGATTGGAGGAGCTGGAATAGGCAAGCAAGAAAGCGGGCGTGGATGCGAGAGATGCGCACCCTTGCATGAGCAACAAGCAGCAGCATTCAGAATCCTCCTTTTTTTTGGTCCTTCTTGTTCCATGGATCCTGATATGATACGAATTGATACCTGTACAGTAACATGGCGCTTTGATTCCCGTCGTACTACTGTAGCTGTACGATCCCGCTTCTCGAACGTTCATGGCTAGCACCAAATGCCCATTGATCTCACGCCTTTCCCGGGCTAGATTGAATGGCGGTTCGAAAGCCAGCTGGGAACGATGCCGTCGTGCTTCCTGTTGCCGCTGGCCCACGGCGAATAACGAGCTGGCCCAGGGGATGAAGCTGACAAAAACGTTTTGGTTCCTGCATTAGCGCCAACGCGCCCAGGGCCACTAAAAAAGGCTGATCAGATGGGATGGATGGGTGGAAGGGGAGCAATTGGGGGGTCACGCCCTAACAGGGAAAAAACGCAGAAGCTAGCGGGCTGCTAGAGGCAATAGTTGGCCAGCAATATCGCGAGTTGCAGCAGCAATTAATTTCGTGCCCGTCCATGATTCATCGCTGTGATCAGCGGGTTCGCGAGAGACGGCAAAGGCATGGGGAAGAATAAGGGGCCGCTTGGAACCGGATCATCAGTGCCCATCCAGCCCTGTCCAGCTGTTTAGCATAGAAGAGGATGCGAAACGCGGGTACATGAACGGAGCAAGACGGGGAGACTTGGGTCTTGGGGTTGCTCGAAACGGGCCTGTGTGGTCGATCAATAGAAGCTTACTTGAGCCTGTGCTCCTCTTTCTATTATGGATCAATTGATGTGTGTATCGTATGCCCTGGTAGTAGACCAACATGAATGCCACGGTTACATGCTACATCCAGTACTACGTCCACTAAATTAGATTAATATTGACCTGTATTATTGGGTGTTTTTTTGGGTAGGTGTGCTTGTCCAAAATTACCACATGAGAGAGATATGGACAAGATAGGTAGATACGAACTACTAACCTGGTAGTACTAGTATTTTATGGTGCGGGATAATAATTGCTGCCAACAAAGTGCCCGGAATCCGAATGATAAGCACATCAACATTGGATGGTACCGTAATCTAATCTACATGTACCTGTTCTACATGTACCAAACACCCCGAAAGGCGTCAATGCAATTTGGACTTCGTATCAATACTCGTACTCATCAAGTAACTCTCCCACCGTCCCTTGCTTTACTGTATCCCAGAGTAATGCTTCGTATATCCAGCACTTGATTCGACAGATTAAAATAAACACGGCAGCAAGGCGCCACCACGCGTCCCTTTGATTGTGTGGCTTTTTGGCGTCTGGAGCTAGGCCAAAGTCACTCCATCTCGTGCCCACCCCTGCATCTCGCTCAGACCCATCCCATGATCCATAATCCATGATCCTTGCTTGACCTGCTTCTGCGCTGCTTGTTTGTCTTGCCTCTGCAGCTGGAGCCCCCGAGAAAAGGCCCAATCTTGGCTTTTGCCCCCCCCCCATCACAGGCCCACCCACTTTCTCCCTTGGAGCTGCACCCCCCCTGGCAACTTCCCCTGGCCTGGTTGTTTTTTTTTCTCTCTCGTGCGCTCTACTATGACTCCGCTGGTGCTTCTGCCCACAAACATTGGTTATAAAGCTCGACTCCTCCAGAGCCCATCTGGGTCTTGATCTTTTTCCTTCCTTCACCACACACTCACGCTCGCTAAGCACCTGCAAAACTTACCTTGACACTTTTGTCAATTTCACTCTTTAACCAACAATCGCATCAATAATCTTAATCAAGCTCCCTCGAGTTTAATTCCTAATACCGACAAAATGAAGTTCACCGCTGCTGTCGCTCTCGCCGCCGTTGGCGTTTCTGCCGTCTACGTTCCTCCTAGCAACGTCACCGTTGTTACCGATGTCGTTGACCAATACGTCACCTACTGCCCCTACGCTACCCAGATCACCCACGGCAGCAAGACCTACACCGTCACCGAGGTACTTTCGAATCTGAATATCTGGATATGAAGCGAGAGAGCCACGCGAACTAACAAGATGCGCCTTACTAGCCCACCACTCTGACCATCACCGACTGCCCCTGCACCATCACCCGCCCCGTTACCGTCACCAGCAGCGTTGTCTGCAACACCTGGTAAGTCGATCTTGAGATCTCTCCAATGTGATCAAAACCATCTGGTACATCTTCAACTAACACGGAATCCTAACAGCGGTAACGCCGCCCCTACTGGTGCTCCCTCCGGTGGCAACGGCGGTGGTTACACTCCCCCTGCCTTCACCAACTCCACCATCACCACTCCCACCCAGGCCCCTCCCGCCAGCGGCCCTGCCAGCACTGGTGGTGTTGTTCCTTCTGCTCCTCCCGCCGTCCCCACTGGCGGTGCCAGCAAGGCCGTCCTCTCCGGCGCCGGCCTTGCCGGTATCGTCGGTCTGGCCGCCTTCGTCCTGTAAATCTTGTAAATTTCGACACCTCGCCAATTTACCGGCTACGATTTCTTGGTTCTACGATTCTTGGAAGTCGTCGGTTCGGCCTCCGTTCATGATTTTGATATAAAGGGGGAAAAACACAAAGTGTTGGGGTTTATTATTGGTTTACGTTGACGGAATACCTTAAGGGAGTGATTATTTTTTGGGATGTATAGAGAAGGGTTCTCTTGGGTTAACGGGACATGCAAGCTCGGTGTTCAAGGGAACTCGATTTTTTTGATCGCCCACGGAAAGATGCGCTACATATCAAACTGTGTGCGGTCGTTTCTCGGGGCTGGAATATAATGTGTCATTTTCTCCAGCAAATAGGATGGGTCTGCCATTACCTCTCTCGCGTCTTTCACCCTATTGACAAGAAACTATAAAGAAAAGGACGCTTTTCCCGCCTCGAAAAACATCGATTCCAATTTCTTTTGTCAGAATATTTCTTCGTTCCTTTCGCTGCGATGGACGCTTCTACACATCGCGCAAGGCCCCTTTTTTCACATACATAAGCTGGGCGTGTTTATGGCCTCTTGTCAATATTTTTTATATATAAAGTTTGGCAAGCCTAAGCTATCCTATCAACTGGTAATTTGGGCGAGCACAAAAGTATATACTGAGAGGGCAGTTTTGGCCCAGCAACACAAAAAATCAAATTCAGCACTGCTTCCCCTCGTCGATGTGTAAATGTGAAAGTGAAGTCTGGCCAAGCAAGCGCTGCGTTCTGGACTTGAGTGTAATTTCCGATGTGATGTGATGAATAGCCGCCGGTTTTGCCTGCATATACTCGTACTATTACAAGCAACCTTGCAGCCGATTGCTGTTTTCCCTTTTCTGTCGACTCACCGTTCTTTGACAGGCGGAGAGTACTTGGGCATGGATGTCACTTATTTTGTCAATGTCCGTTCATTGAGGTCGAGACCAAGGTGGCTTCGGGCCGTCCCTGGAGTTAAGCCCTTTGGTGCTTGCTAGGGATTACGGACTAACACAGGCCTTGCATGATCCTACCAGGAGAGCAATTGGCAGTAACATAGTAATAGACATTTAGCCTATAATGTGTTGTATTTGGCATTGTCTATGTCAGACGGACTGTCCAACTTGAGGTAGTAAATTGAGATATATAATCGAGAGTAAACACACTTTGATTGGGCTGGGCATATGGACGGTGGCGTGTTTGCGGCTTGCCAATGCTTGGAGCGTGATTGGGCATGATTATCTGGAGAAGATAAAAGGTTATTTATTTGCCGGGCCACATGGGGGCGAAGTCGGGGACAAAGATGCTGACACCGTAGGCAATATACGCATTATTAATGCTTCACATAACAATGAATAGCCGGAAGAATTGACTGAGAGTGTTACTGTGTTGAAGAACTGAGTAGTTTGAGGACTGTTTGACACTCTTCACTGCGAGTGTTATACACTGTCAAATGACTTCTATTCGCTTTACCCTAACATCCATCAGCCTTGTCTACATGCATTCTGTTGGTGATGCGTGTTGGCCATCTAACTTGGTATTGGTTTAGACACTTGCGCTTCTACTGCCAATCGTCTGACACACCCACCTACAAACAGCAATGATGTCAACTTTTGCATCTGTCTGGAACATGCTGATGGCGATAGCGGACTCCCATTGCCGAGCTCTACCGACAAAGATGCTCAGCAGCGCTATCGATAGCTCACCACCAAAAGGCGGGGCAAATCCGGGGCCCCAGCTCCTGCCTTCTCTACGCTAACCAGCGGATTAACGGAGCTGCAGCACGGCAACAAGCTCCACCGTGGCTTCCGCTGTTACAATTGCCTGCCGCGTCTTCTGGACGCCTCATCGGCCGTTGGCACCTTCCCCCACGACTCGCCTCACCATCGAACCTCATCTGCTTTAGTCATCAGGCTAATGAGGTAATGAAGCTGGATTACCGAGGATAAGTCGATTGTGCTGAATCCTATTTATATCTGGCCTGAGAAGCAATTGATCTGGCAGAATCTGATCTGTGACCGCAACTCTGGAAGTTTGCTCGCACTCTGTCTGGCGTCTTCTACGCGTCTCCTTCATTTATACCAAATCGCCATCAACTCCAATCGTGTCCTCCCCCCATATCTCACAATGTCTGGCAAAGACAGTCATGTCCAGGATGATATCCTGCGGCACAGCCTAGAGAACCCTGAGGAGTTCTGGGCAAACCAGGCTGAGCATCTCTACTGGCACAAGAAGCCCAGCTCAACACTAAAGCTTACAGCCAAGAAGCTCAAGAGCGGCATTGAGCACGACAGCTGGGAGTGGTTTCCCGGCGGCGAGATTTCCACCTGCTACAACTGCGTGGACCGTCATGTAGAGGCTGGACACGGCGATGAGGTTGCCATCTACTTTGACAGCCCAGTCACCCAGGTCAAGCAGAAGTACACATATCGTCAGCTGCTGGAGGAGGTTGAGGTCTTTGCGGGAGCTCTGAGAGAAGATGGCGTGCGCAAAGGGGATGTGGTGATGCTTTACAGTAAGTTGCTTCGTATAAGTCTATTCACTCTCTCATTCACCTCACTTATTATACCTAAACGATTTCCTTGTTGCTAACGTTGATGAACAACAGTGCCCATGATTCCCGCTGCTCTGATCGGCATCCTGGCCGTGAACCGCCTCGGTGCCATCCACTCCATCGTCTTCGGCGGCTTTGCCCCCAATGCCCTCGCTCAGCGTATCGACTCATGCAAGCCCGTGGCCCTCTTGACGGCGTCATGTGGCATTGACGGCAACAAGCCTCCTATCCCATATCGCCCGCTCGTCGAGGAGGCCTTCAAGCTAGCCACTCACAAGCCGCGCCGGACCTTCATTTGGCAGCGTGAGCAGGTCCCCTGGGCACCCACAGACCGCAGCGCGGGCCAGGCATCCTGGCAGAAAGTCATGAACAGCGCACGTTCAAGAGGCATCAAGGCCGAGTGTGTCCCCGTAAAGAGTGCCGATCCAGTCTACATTATCCACACATCCGGCACAACAGGCACGCCCAAGGGAGTCTTGCGAGACGCTGGAGGCCATGCCGTTGGTTTACACCTCTCGATTAGCTACTTGTTCAATATCCACGGGCCGGGCGACGTTGTCTTCACGGCGTCGGATATCGGCTGGGTTGTTGGACACTCATACATAGTCTACGCACCGCTGCTGGCTGGCGCTTCTACTATCATTTATGAAGGCAAGCCAATTGGAACACCAGACGCTTCGGCCTTCTGGCGCATTGTCGAAGAATACAAGGTTAACACCATGTTCACTGCCCCAACGGCTCTGCGCGCCATCAAGCGCGATGATCCTGATAACAAGTTTCTGGCCAAGGTTGGCGAGCGGGGTGGCCTCCGCACACTCAACGCCCTGTTCCTGGCCGGAGAACGTTCAGAGCCAAGCATCATATCCATGTATCAGGAGCTCCTAGACAAGTATGCTGCGCCATCTGCGCATGTCATCGATAACTGGTGGTCCACGGAGACTGGCTCTCCCATGACGGGCCGTGCTCTCGTCCCCCATGCGGGTCGTGACCGCAAGGCCAAGACTCGTCATGATCCTCCTCGCCTCAAACCTGGCAGTGCTGGCAAAGCCATGCCTGGCTTTGACATCCGCGTTGTGGACGATGAGGGCCGCGAGGTCGACAGAGGCACCATGGGCAACATTGTGTTGGGGATGCCATTGGCGCCGACTGGGTTCCGCACTCTATGGGACGACGAGGAGAGATTTTACAAGGGATACTTGAAGAGATTCCAAGGAAAGTGGCTTGATACTGGAGACTCGGGTTGGATTGATGCCGAGGGCTATGTGCATGTCATGAGCAGGAACGACGATGTGCTGAATGTGAGCGCACATCGGTTATCAAGCGGTAAGTTTTCCATTTTTTGCGCCATCCCTATATCTTGCTCTTTCTTGGCCGTTGCAGGGCTGCAGGTAGCAATTGCAACCGTGCGTTTATACTCTAGAAACAGTCCAGCTAACAAGGCCTAGGTGGTATTGAACAAGCTGTGACTTCGCACCCTCTCGTTGCCGAAGCCTGCATCGTGGGTGTCCCTGACGCCGTAAAGGGCCAGCTGCCTTTCGCTTTCATCACTCTCTCTACCCCATCTCACCCAACAGCTGCAGTCCCTGACGAGAAGCTGGCTGCTGAGATTCAGGCCCTTGTACGGAAGCAAGTAGGCGCCATCGCCTCACTTGGCGGTATCATTCAGGGCAAAGGCATGATCCCCAAGACACGCTCCGGCAAGACTCTGAGGCGAGTATTGAGGGAGCTACTGGAGAATGCTGCCAAGGGCGAGTTTGACAAAGAAGTTGCGGTGCCGAGCACTGTGGAAGACGCGGCGGTTGTGGATGTGGCCAGGCGTAAAGTAAAGGAGTATTTTGATACTGTGGGTGAGAAACACGCCGCTATCGAGGAAGGCATAAAGGCAAAGCTGTAATGAGCGTGGCATATGACAGTTTTGGATTATTGTTTGAAAGTCGCGTCGGATTTAAGATTGACAACATGATCAATCGGGCTATGATATGAAACAACTACCTACCAACTGCGATGGAGGTATCTACTCTAGGTATGCAGTAACAAATAACACTGCTGGATATAGGTATATTTTGATTTACCTCATTTCAACGAGTCTTTTCAATGGAAGAAATGTCCCGAATTAACAACCCTGTGATTGAAGAGCAAATTACCCTATACTTTCCTCCGCCGAATTTTCAAACGACAGCTATTTCATGATCTCCCATGAATAAATTCCCTTCCTCTTGCACATCTCCATTTCCTCACTTGAATTCTCAGCTAGAGAACATGTCGCCATTCAGCTCTTTTTTCCCCCTTCCTCGGCACAAACTCCGATCATCATCAAATGTTCGCGATATTCATTCCACCCCGCTCTCGTATCCCCCCAAACTCGAAACAGACTTGCAACGTCGCCTTGTCCTACATTGCGAAGAAAAATCGCCACCCCGGAGAGGCCCAGTGACACGGGGAGATTTTTTTTTGTCGGGTGGAAGATGACATGCTTTTTCTTCTTCTTCTTTTACTTTATGGTGTATGTTTGTGTTGCCGGGGGGGTTGTTTGTAGCTGTTCTGATCTTTGTGGTAGCTCACTTCTACATTCATTTAATTAAATGATTGATTGATTGTCGATTATTTGTTGATTTAATTTTGTGATGTGATCTTGGTGGATTTGTTACATTGAGGCGCGTCGAGGAGGCGGGAGATGAGTTGTACAGCGGAGGTGGGACACGGGATAGGATGGATAGGGAGAAGGGGGGGGGGGGGGGGGGGATTTATTCTGTGAGGGTCTCATCAAGGGGAAGAATGGCTTGAGATTTTGTATTATTTGTTCTGTTCAATATGAGGAAGTAGATGTTCACTGTGAATGGGTTTGGACGAGAGACTGTTGTTGGGTGAGTTGTTGTTGCTTGAAACTTGGAAAGACATGTGGCGAGAGTGTGCCTATGACGGTGTATCCGATGGCTTCGAGATCCCCGAAGCGCGAAAATCAGGAAATTCAAGGAGATCTCTCGTCGTTGTGCTAAAAGAGGCCGTCTGGTGCGAGTATTGCTCGTGCGAATGCAAACACAAGCCGCCACAACCCGGAAAGATATAGATATCCATATCCAGTGTCTGTGTAAGGAGGGAACATCCCTTGTAAGCCCGGGACAGGCCCTAAAGTCAGTTAGATCGCTGCTTAAATCTCTCTTTTATTTCTTCAAGAAAGTATAGTTAGGGTGGTGGCACGTCGAGACTTGATACCGAAAGAGCTAGGTGAATTGTATTCTGAATTTCTTTTCTTCTGCCCTCGGACAGGATTTGGTGCTAGCACCTGCGTCGGAATGTGGTTCCTTTTGTGTTCTATGAGAAGTGATATATCATAAATTCGTATCGGTGTAATGTGAGAGGCTGCTGTTCTCTCTTCCTCCTCTGCCTCGTCCATCCTCGTCCGTCGTAATAAAAGTTTGTCGTCCAACTAGGCTCATGCGGTGCTTCCATGCATAAATGGGGAACAAACTATCCTATCAATCGTCAAGATAATCAAGAAGCGGTATCTGATGGTGCGGTTTTAGAGGCGGCGTTTTGCTTGGAATACAGCCCATAGACGCTGTTTTGTGCCTTTGCGGCCATCTTGAGGTTGGAGAAGCGCGCTTCGGGCAATCTCTTCCCCTCCTGGAGACTTTGTAGAACCCTGGATCTAATTAGCCAAGACGTTGCAAGAAACTGAAAGGCAAACTCACCATTCCACGCTGACAAACTTGACGCCACAGCCACCAATCTTCCGTATTTCCTTTTCCAGCTTGCCCGCGGCGAGGCCACCCCCGGTGCCTTTGCCCTCTGTTGAACCGTTGGGTCGCCCGAGGATAACATGCGTGACCTTTCGCCGGCCCAGGTTCAGAGACATGTTGCCGCCGTTTTCATTGATGAGCTGCTTGAGGCGGTGGTCGGACACCAGGGGAAACGTGCTGCCGTTGACGTAGACTGTGACTCCATCGAAGAGCTTGCGCGGGTTGGCTTGGAATTTCTTTTGCTTTTCCTCATCCTCCAGCCGTCTCTGGTGCATCAAGGCATCTTCTGCTGTGGTATGGTCCCCCGGCATCGATTTGTCCCGTGCTTCGGGCCCATTTGGGCGGCGTGAATCCAGCGTCTCACGCATCAGCCCTGGGCGAGTCAGCATGTCCACGACGCTCGTCTTATTATTATCCCCCTGTCCACCACTGCTTCTGCCACTGCTTCTATCGCCACTTGTCTTCGTATTCCTTGCCTTGTCATGGCCAGCGACACCGGGATTCTCTGCTCCGGCGCCCCATGTGTCGCTCAAGCGCTGGCCACCCGAGCCGTCGCCGGCCCGGAACTGGCTGTTGAGCTTCCTGGTCCGCGAGTGTCGCCACCCCGTGCCCGGCTGCGTCTCTGCTCGCTGGTGGCCTGTTGCGGACGAGTTCCAAGGGTCCCAGGGGCGCGTGGCGGAGATCCGGGACAGGGGTTTGGGTGGTGACATGTCGCTTTTTTCTCGATGGCGTGCATCTGACGCTGGGACTAGTAGCTGTAGTTGTAGCAGTACTGTTTGTATACTCGTGTATACGGCAAAGAACAGCTGCCCGTGTGCCAACGATTTGATCCCGTCACGGCGTTTTTGTTCTGTTTTTCAAGGGAGAAAAGACAAAAGGACACACTGCAAACGCCCATTTAGCAGCCCTTGAGCCTCTGCCCGCGTTTCGGCGCGTTTGTCCCGCTAATGTCGTGAAAGACGGGCGCCTGTTTGACGCCAGGTCACATGACGCTGGCCTGTACCACAACTTCGTCTCTCCTCCCACAAAGTCAATTTGATATCGAGATGGATCCTCCATAGAATCATCATCATCGCTATCCATCGTGGCCCAGTATCTTCCTTGTATCAGATCTCACGCTGATGAGGGCATATGCAGTCATGCTGTCAGTCTCTCGCATCGCCACCGCCAAATCCAGCCCCCATCATCGCCACACAATCCGGTATAAGTCGGCCAGCGCTTCCCAAATGTTTCAGCTTCCTCTCTTGCGGGAGTGAACAGACCACCAACCATTACACCAACCATCGCCACCATCTTGTCGGAATCTCACTCAACCGATCCCATCAGACCAAGCCAAGTCCCCCACACCCACAGCACAGCACAGCAAACTTGCCGACGCAGGGCTCTTCGCGTGGCTCTTCGTCGAATGTAATGCAGTCTGCACTGCACCCATGATATGCGCCTCGCCTGGGGATGTGCCGGTTGGATCCCCTGGCTGCATACCAGATGACTGACCGATGGGAGGTTCATGCGCAAAACTCTCCTCGGATGCCACCCTTGGATCCATATAAGCGCGGGAGTTTTCTGGCTCCTCTTCCACCGCGATGGTTACACAACTCAACTAGACAAGCACACTAGTTGGCTTGGGTACCTAGAGCACGGTACTGTTGGTTTGCTTCCAGCCATCATCACCATCATCACCTCATTCATTTCTCCTCCCTTGTAGGGTCTCTACCGCGGCTCTAGGGCAGCCGCTCTGTAAAGGAGAGTCTCCTTTTGTCCGCCTCGCTTGAATCCACGATTAGCTCTACTATCAGAGCACATGATGCCGAAGAAGACGTAATGCTTGTTCACTGGACACAGCTCTGGTCAGCAGATGTAGTCTGTGCGTCCAATCGACTTCCAAGTACACACTATACCAGATCATCCCCTGTCCTGGTTACGGCTTGTTTCATTATCATCCGTTTGCCCTCCCTGGACCGGACTTTTGGCAAGTTGATGAGTCCCTGATGAGCCTAGGGAGGCATGTCCATGTTGGGCGGCGATAGAGGTCCCGGTTCCAGAGAGACAAACGACCCTCAAAATGGCTGGCTTGGTCATTGCTCATCCCTCAACAGCCACCGTCTTTCCCATTGACCCTGCTCGCCCTTCAGCTCCGCAACAAATCAACGGGTCCGCTTCACGATACTCTCCGTTCAAAGTATGTATTCAGACGAGCACGACGGCGGCGGCGGTTGTAAGACTACGCACCGTGACCGTGCACGAGACGACCAACCAACCGACCAAGCCGCCTCAGCCAATTCTCCCAGCAACGCGGCTGTGGCAGGTTCCGTCCTACAGGGCTCCCCTACTTGGCCCTGTGCTTGTGCGCCTTTCCCTACCAGATCATGTCAGGACCACGGCACCTTACATGGCATCTTGCCTCGCCGCACTTATGCGCATCATACCTGCTTTGCAGCTGATATCTCCCGCTGTACGGTGTACGAGTAAGCCAGATCTCTCTCATGCCAGCTATTTTGTCTGCTCTGTGCGCGGCGCCGTGCAGTGCAAGGCCCTGTGCCCTTTGTCTAGACTGCAGCCCCCTCGACTGAAAACCACGGCGACCTTTTGTGGCATAGACGGGGGCAGCGCACCAGCCTCCGGGCCGCTTTTTGCTGCAGATCACTAGTTGGGGTCCCCCACCAGATTGTGAAGCATACGATACGGTACGATACTCCTCGTCCTGGCATGTACAAGCATGGATCGTTGCCGATATTACTGCCTGCCTGCACCTGCTTTATATCTCTTCGCAGGTACAAGTACGTGACGTTTGTTGATGTGGACAAGACTCCCTTCGCAATGGCGGTATTAGTATGTCGTCGCAAACACTGGGCTTGCGATCTCGGCTACGAGGCAGCTCGTTTATGTGAGATGGACCCCGAGCAAGGGTCCCGGAGGCGTATGGGTGCTCCTAGTAGCACTGCTGGCACGACAAGCAAGCACTTCCTCCCGTGCCCAGCACAGAGTACCGGTACATTGAAAGCCATTTAATCTCTCAGCGAGGGGAGCGTGTCCGAAGTTATGTGCATGGCCATTGACGTCCGGGAAGGCCTGCAGGCTTTTTCGTGAGACTCTCGCCGCCGTTGCAAGCATCTGGAGCATCCTGTCTTTCATCGTACGAAGCCCGAGATGCGTCGTCGAACTGGATATCCTCGGCGTCGGCTCAGCGTTGCTCCTCGTGCTCCCACGGAGTCCCGGGGGGCACCTCCAGCCAATCCCGTCGTGCAGGCCACCAAGGCAAAGGCGTTGCTGCTAATCGATGCATGGGCGAGACAGATGAGCCTCCATGCACATGTACGTCAGTAGGGACCTACATGAGTGTACATATCACCGCAACGCTTCCTGCTTTTATGCACGAGCATAACACGCCACCTACTCAAAGACAAGACAGATACTTTGTGTCTTCACGCCTTCACTTTCTTTCTGTACGTCCGTTGGTCTGCTCGCTCAGCAGCTTTAGACCGGGCATTGAGGGCGCAACCTTTACTACAACAAGTCAGACGGCAGTCGTGGCAGAAATGCCCCAGTCATTGCTCCTCATGGTGCGCCTGCGGCGGGAGAGCTAATGTATCACTACGATTAGCAGTATTCGTATGCTGTACTCTGTACATCCTGACACATGCTGCTTGCGTGGGACGAGAGAGACAGAGAGGGTCAAGCAAGTTGCTGTGCATCAACCGCCCAGATCTTGGTGAGCTTGGACCTCGCAGGCTGGCTGGCTTTCTCCTTAAACACCGTATCGTACAGGCAAGCCACGCAGCGGTGCTACGTAGACGTACCGAGTGGTTGAAAGTAACGGTACAGGTGCGGTGGCCCTGCCCTTGCCAGCCATTTTTCGTTGCTCCTATCGGCAGAGCTCCCTCCTCGCCAACGTCTCGTTTTTACCTGTATGTACATATGTGATGGTGATCATGCTGTAAGGAGCATCGACGACGAGGGGGGGGGGGCGAGGGACCGGGGGCTGGTCCTGGTCACACACAACACGCCGATTGCTCTCACGGCTTTCTCTTAGCCTCCTCCTTCAGGTTCTCTCTCGCTCTTTACCCTCTTTGCCGCCAGCCGCCGCCCTTGTTGCCCGCAATCTGCCCTGTTCTCTCGTCCTACAATTGCACGGTAACATTGCTTACTTCGTGTCAGTCATATCGCATGTTTTCTTGACTGCCACATTGGCCAAGCGAGGTTTGGGATTTCTCTTTCTTTCTTTTTTCTCCCTCGTATGGGGGGGATGTTCTCGCCCGTCTCTCCTGTCATATCTACACGTATTAGTAGTCCCGGCAGGCCACCAACAGCTCGACCATAAGGACTTGTACCGTGACCATAGAAGGGAATTGTGCGATCTGCCCACGGACCATCTCGTTAGCAGGCGGATCCCTTGCCTCTGAGCTGGCAAGGGCCCAACACAAGACAAGAAGGAGAAAACAAAGCGGTTGATGCGGGTTCGATAGAGAGAGAGAAAAAACCCGTGAGGAATAAGACTGAATGGCCTAGCCAGCGAAGCTCTGTCCAAAAGTCAAGCCGAATCGTGCACACGCCCCCCAGTCCGCACGCCCCCCCAGAGTGTGGGCTCCATGCAAAATCGGGTATGCAAGGGAGGGGGCTTTCTCTCCATCCATCAACATGCGTGCGAGCAACGCAATAAGCGGTGAGGGGAGAGAGGGCCAGGCGCTAGACAAGATGGAGCCACCACAAGAAAAAAGCCAGGCCACAACCACAAAGCCCCCAGAGTCTTTGCGTCTCCAGTTTTGGAGGCGAGCAAGGGGGGGGGAAGAGAGCCAAGTCCCCTCCTCCTCCCGGAAGGGCCCTTCACAGGCAAGGAATTTCTCGCCCATCATCGGACATACAATGGTCCCCCCTCCCTTCCCCCATGGGCGGCCGAGCAATGTTCGGTCTGACAAGACTGCCGGGAGGTGCCCCGAAAAAAGCGTGAGGAGAGAACGAACCACGGCATGTCACGTTCTCTGCTCCGGGCCAATGCTCCACTCGGTGTAGAGCAAACGGACGTCAGGATTACAGACTACATATAGCACTGACCACGTGGTTCCAAAGAGGCAAACCGCTTATAGAGACTGTGCATGAATTGTCAGTTGAGGGAAGGGAAAAGAAGACGGAGAATTGATCACGCCAAAGATCCACCTCTCGCTATCTCTTCCCAATGCTTGCGGGATGTGCACGTATACATACATTGTACGGAGTATGGTACCGTAAGTTGCCAATATCAGGCTGCAATACGTAAACCCAGACGGTTTTGCTACTCACTCGTACATGTAAGACCTGATAGACAACGCTACTGTTGCTATTTCATTAAAATGAAAATGAAAACCGACAGGCTCGGCATGTCACTAAGACTGCGGGAATTCACAGGGCGAGACAATCCAACGGCCAGTGCTGGTTGGTTGGCTCAAAACGGTTGAAAGGCAAAGACAACAAATCGAGACTATTAGTGACCTCAGCTGAATCATGAGCAAAGTTGTACAACCGTGTACAAGGAAGTAACAGTAAAAAAACAGGAAAGATGGCGAAGAAAAGGGTGATCAGTAAAGGGAATACGAATTGATCTCCGTTTTTCTCTTTGGCCTTTATTTTTCTCGTAGTGAAGATCAACGGTCCTTGCAGAACTCCAAGGGAGCCTGCTGGATTGTCATTGTCAAAACACCATCACCTTACCTCGCCTGATCCATTGTACATGATTGATGGCAGAATATTGTCCACCAGCCACATCCTCATGTCAAGCCGCGCCCTCTCGGTACTTTGTATTGTTTGTAGTCTGCACCTGTGGTGCATTCACCACTTGAAACAAAACGTTGGGTGTACTTGGTAGTTCGTAATAGGGTAGCAGTGGATATTGCTATCAGGCAGACTCATGAGGGGAAGCAAGCCAAAAGAACAACCCTCGGTCTTCCATGTGAAGCGGACCGTTCTTCCACGCATGTACTTCTTACCTGTGCTCTAATGCCGAGCGGGGGGGGGGTCTCACCAAAAATACACGCTTGTCCCATATGCTTGCAGGTAGCTGCGCACCCACCACGATGATCTGGCAATGTGGATTTGAATTTCCTTTGCTCAAACTCCAGGCCGTTTTCTCTTCATCAACTTGCCTCAGTCACATAGCTCCAGTAGATAATCCAGAGCAAAGGGAATTGCGAATTGAGGGACCGGGGCCGGGGGTCTTGTGCCAAACGCCTGACAATGACCAGCATAAAGAGGGAACGTCGACTTCTAGATTCGGCTGAGAAAGCCACAGTGTGAGCAAACACGAGATACGGAGCGAGAGCCCAATGGTGCAGGCAGTCACTAGCTCTGGGTCGCAGGGCTCCTGTACAGCTTCGCTTATCAATTCCATTGAGTTATTGGATAGCTCATCCTGGAAAGCTCCAACAGACGCTGGATGTGCTGGCTCGACAAAACCGCAGTAAAATGCTTTTCCCTAGCCCGAATGCTCCCACAACAAGTCCAGCCCTGCAGAGGCGTTGACGTGCTTGGCTGGTACTAGGGTGGGAAGCCACACAACAGCGCCGGCGACGGCGGCGGACGGTGGCCCTTCGCGGGATCTGGTGTGGTATGGCAGAGACGTGGTGTGCTCTCATTGGCCTGGCTGATATTGAGGACCCTCGCCGCCCTGGCCACTGGAGTCGCTAAAAAAAACAACAACCGCAAAGTAGCACCAAAGACTCATCTCGTCTCCAGTAAGCCCTGGCAGCAGAATCAGGAAACCGAGAGAGCAACGAGACAGAAATTACCCGCGGATTAGACCGTGGCCACCGGATCAATCGACCCAGCCCACGGCCAATGGCATCTCAATGGGTGGGCTGTCTTGCCCAGAAGCTGAGAAAGTAAGAAAATCTCTATCCATTCCGATCGGAAGATGTTGTGGAAATACCTCGTGCTGTTTGTTAGTGAGATGGTTGTGGGAGACGTACCCCGGAGATGGTAGACATACCACCAACAGGATTCTCAGTGTCAGTGTCACAGGTGAAAACAAAAGTCTCCATGTCATCACGAAATCAAGCTAAGGCCAAGCTGTACCGGTGCTTGGATCAAGATTGTGTGAAACCTTAGCAAAGAGACCTCCGGCATGGTACTGGAGTCACAGCACTATCTGCACATTCTTGCACTAGTTGGAGCTTCACCCTTCGGCCGGGCCTTGTAGCGAGTGGGCGGTGGACGATGGGAAGCGTGACATTGTGAGTTCAAACTCAAAGGCGCCCAGCGTGGGTAAATAACCATCCCGCAAAAACGTGCATTACGGGGAGCACCGCCCAGCTGCTCCGGAGTCGGTACCTACTTTCCTGCTGGCTGACGGAAGTACATGCTCGCATCCGGCCGCCAGAGGAGACGGGAAGGCTAATGTAGGATCTATTAAATAAGAGCGACAACCTCCACCGAAACTGACACTGGTACACAAAGGTGGAGAGATTGAATGAACTTCAGCCATTGTACATGGACGGTCATGTCGGATAGAGCCCATGCCAAGGGACGGACGTGCATGCCCTCTTGGTTGATTTGGTGAGTAATATTCAGATTATGGCAAGCAGAGGGTCCAAGCCAGATGCTAGACTCTCCCCTTCGCCAAGCTACCGGGTTAGCACCAGGCAGAGATCTCTTAGTCGTACGTCGTAATCCGAACCATGACGGTTGAAAAAAAAAAAAAAACCGAGGGCTGGAAATGGCTGGTCTTGAAACTGCTCAGGAGGGACCCCATGTCTATTCCAAGACTCCACATCAACGGGTATGATTGGCTATGTGTTAGACATACATAGCCGCTGTGCATCATGCAAGTGCTGCAAAGCTAGCATGGCCACCCCTCCCCCTCTTCCTCTGGCTTGGGTTGTATCATCCTAAACAAAGCTTCAAGCTAGGAGCAAGGCTGCAGGGACTCTGCCGCCATTTCAACCTCGAATTAGGGTTGACGGAATGAGAAGCGAGGGAGCATTTGGCCTCAGCCATGGCAAGATTTCAATGAGGATACGCCTGGTCAGCACCGTTGAATTGTCCAGGTGAGCTGGTGAAACATTGATTCGTTCATCCTTTATGACAGGGAGAGCGGTTTGATGATCCGATTGGGGAGAGCAGCATTTGTGGCGCAGAAGGCGTGACTCTCAGGCCTGAATAGCGACGCGGGCTTCGAATTTTACCGGAGCTCTTGTATGACGATGAAAGGTCGACCCTCTGGAACTCCAAATCGTCGAGATGCTATGCAGCGTACGACAGACTCGCGTGGTGTGTAGACTCGGTGTCACAGTATTCCATGCGGAAACTTGTACTCGTATCTTGTACGAGGGCTCTCGATGAGAGAGGGGCTATGTTTTGGAAGACGTAGACGTCATTGCTAGAGTTTCTGTCACAACCTGCCAAACTACTGAATTCCAGGTGAGAGAAAACGAGTAAAGCATATAGCGCAGATCAATAGATAAACACATGCATCGCAATGGCTCTCTGCTGATATGGGACCCTGCTCACGGGGGGGCCAAAAGCATCAAGTGCCGTGAGTGCGCAGCTTGCACGCAGGCGCGGCTAGCATACCTGCGGAACCACCCCGTAACAAGCAAATCCACTGGATTCCAGACCGAGGGATAGGATGGAAAACACGCTTGCACTCTTAGGAGCCGAGCCCCTTGGAAGGCAACTGAATCTTCTGATGACAGTCCGGCATATGCGGCGTACGAGTAGCTCCCGACTTGAGACTTTGCCAACGGCAGTGAAGCAGGGCTATGAATGAGATGCTTTGGCCGGGGTTGTCGGTATGGCCTTATGCCAGATCAACCCGCGGCTCATACTGCAGCATGTCATGCATAATGAGTCTCAGGCGCGCACATTGTGCAGTGTATCCGTAGCTGGTACCTCTAAGGAGGCAGAGCAATGTGCCCACCCTTGGCGCTCATGGGACAAAGAGCCGAGCGCGAAGCAGTAAGAAGCTGCTGTCATTTGATGGCAATCTCCAAACAATGCCAGCCCGAATAATCTTCCCCGTGCATGGGTCGTGGTTAAGCGCGTAGCATGTACGAGGAACTCGAAGCTTGTTCCAATATTGTTGCCAACGGCCTCACGTCCAGCTGGGTGGCAATCCCCTGCCCCTGGTCAGGCACTAATTTTCATTGATAGCTTAGAAACCATGGTATACTCAATTGATTCGTGGTACAGTTTACCACTCCCGACCGCCGGAGCAGGCCGTTTTGATTTGGCACACGTGAAAGAAAACAGCTAACCGCCTCCACTGCGGATAACAAAGCCCTCATTGGCCTTTCCGCAGGCTGCGTGATGGTTGCTCCGAAGTAAGACAAGGAAGATCAAGATTGTAGCCAAAATTATACTAACTTCCGAGAGCGAGTTGGTCGTGTGGCTGGCCATGTGTCCTTTGTTGAAACGTGCTGGCGAGATGATACAGCCAGTGGGGAACGGCCAGCTGTCAAGCCTCCCCAGATGCAAGACACCACAACTGCTCTAGTTGGCTGAGTGTTTCTTTTTTTCTTTTGCTATCCCCGCTCCTGCAAGGTTTCTTGGTGACATACGAGAACCGGCCACGATGGAACTTCAAATTAGGGAGGATCTCTAACGCCGTCTGAGCTGGGTCTGACCCATTCTCATACTAGTCGTCTGTTTCGTCGTAAGCAGATATTCCCTTGAGCTCGACGATGTACGGAGGGAGAAGACGAAAAGTCGAAGCAGGTCGAGGTAGATCAAAGAGAGCGGGAGAAAGCTTGCCAACTCATACCCCCCTCCCCCATCACCCTCCACTTCCTTCCCCCTAAGCTCAGGCCATGCTTCGATAATGGATGGCTGGTAGGAAGTACCTGTACGGCGGGAGTGACTTGAGTACAGTGCGAGTAAATTACCGGCACCATATCTTGACCACGGCCAGGTACTTTTGGTACTTGTGGACATTAGCAATGGCAGCTTTGCGGAAGGATTTTTTCTGGCGTCCCAACGGTTCGTAAAGGAGACATATCAGTGTATATGAAAGAAGGGAGAGGAAAGTGGTAAGAGATATGAGTTTCCAACTGATATCCCAGCAAACAGGTTGTCCGCGAACTCAATCAGGCGACAAGTTTAAGCCTCTTCTGCCAAAGGGGGAAAGAATTGCTCTATCCTGCAGCTGGTAGAGCAGATAGTGTAGTTGATCCATGGGTCGAATTAATCAGTATACACGGAGTACGGATACGGAGCAGAGCAATCGTACACAACAATGAAGGATGTTTTGACTGCAGATACGGCGTGCCGGTAACTCGGCCGTGAAGCGTCCCATTCTCAGCGGCGTTGGTGGCGAACATCGTCAACAGGTTTGTTTGCCGCGGCTGTGCATAACCTTTTCATGTAAGATATGTGCAAGACACTTCTTGGGCGAAGCTGTGTCAATGCATGTACGGATTCTTGCACACGCCGTGGCAAGCGTGCATCAGGCAAGATGGGAGGCGCTTTAGTCCCCGACGGAATCTTGCATTCGGTCGGCAGTACCCCACTCTCCTTCTGCAGTGGCACCACATCCTAAAGCCGGCATGTGGCGGATATCAGATCCTCGTCCACCATCTCAGGACCTGCGTGAAAATAGCCATAGTGCGTGTACTTTAAGGATAGAATGGCAAGTACTTGTATGGCTGCGAACGGGGAGAGCGAGGACCGCAGTCGAAAGGTATCAAGTCCGCATTTCCAAGGCCAATCTTGCTTTTGCGGGAGAGTGCAATGTAAGGGAACTCTCCGGGATCGCAATGGTTGGCAGGGAATACCTTGCAAATTTTCACTTGCGCTTGCACTTGCGCCTCTCCACATATGCCAGGTCCTCGGTGATCGCAAAACGCCCGCCTGGTTAAGTTATCCTCCGGCTGTGGGGTCGCCGGGCTGGAGGGATAGACTATGCTCCGTAGAATAAATGGATGTTGAGGTCGGCGTTGCACCCTTTGATAAGGTGCAGAGTCCAGTTGTGCTATTGTATTTGCCTTTTCCCTAGCGACGCCCTTGGGGAAGCCAGGGGAACGTGTCGATTGAGTTTCCCGCGCAACGAATGATATGCTTGTAATTGTTGCTTGTCCAATTTCTCCGACGGATAGGATGGCCCGGTGAAAAATGTCGGCTTCTGAGGTAGGTTATCTTGGCTGTATATACACATCGAGAGAGGGGTGTAGATGTGTAGCCGAACAGGCGCCTTAGTCAGATGAAGTATATACCACATCGAGGATAACATGTGATGCCGCTGCGGATGGAGCATGGTCGACTGAGGTTATGCCGGTTATCTTGCATCTTTGAACATTCGTGCACACTTGGCACATGTAGCACAAACTTGTCTCGGTAAGCGTTGCATAGGCATATGCGGGAGCTAATGAGAGACTGTCTTGGATGGCAGCAAGTTCAGCATTGATGGACTGGCAGTGCGTGAGTGGCAGGTGTGATTAGGGCCAGCTGGTGCCATTGGCCGTACTAGATTGTTTCTGGGCGAATTGTCTCGCCCACGCCATGATGCGACCATAAGCCCAGGTTCAGAACGACCAATGGCTGCCAGTCGAAGGCAGTTTTGCACGCAAATGGCTGTGGGCTAGCTGGAATCAAAGTTGCTCGTTGGGGTCAACGTATCAAGGCGGTTTTTGGGGTCAAGTTCAAGCACGATGGCTGCGGCCCTGTGTCGAACCAAGAGTTGCGAAAATGCCTTGCAGAGGCGCATTCGGACTTGCGGCTCACCCATAGAGGAGCGTTTCCCCCCGGACATGCAGGATCCTGCAAACGTTGCCGTGCGCTTGGACCTATGCAAGATGGATGCATCGTGGAAATCTGTTCCTGATGCGAATGTGCGTCGTTCCCCATCATGCGTGCGTGCATCTTGCATCTCCAGCCCGGCTATGGGCGCACGTTGGCGCTATGCCATGCCAGATCGCCTGAATCGACTGCCTGTTGCAAAGCCCACACTGTTTGCAAAAGTTCGCGGAGAAGAAGTGCCTGTTGTGCCTGTGCCTGTTCCTGTAGTCTGTAGTCTGTCTGTTCTGCTCTGTACATACTGTATAGACAGACAGTAGAGCATTCGTGTCGGTCCGTAGCTCCGTTTCTATTTTCGGCAGCGTCAGGTCGAGGCTCTGGCCACCCTGATCGTCTGAATCCTCACGGCACTTTTCGTTTGAGGCTGCAGGAGTGGCGTTGCAGCGGAAGCGAGCCGAGGATCGATTTGGCTCGATGCAGATTAACAGGTGATGGTGTTTTCTGTTGGGGATGAAGCTGGATTGGCCACCTTTGCTCGGTGAGTGGTCGCAAGCTCTGTCCAAGTGACTTCCACCTTCTACAGCAGCATGCACCCACGGCTCTACCTTCCTTCCCTCAGATCGCTGCAGAGCGTCGATCCGAAGCGGGGTGTTCCGCCCAGTACGCCCTTATCGATACTGTGCAGAAGTGCAGCATGTACAAAAGTCTGCAGCAATTTGATGACTAAAGCCTGGAGGCGCCCACTGATACAAAATGTACCTTTACAACGGAACTTATATCAACGTGTCAATGCTAAGTAAGCTGTCAAGCACGTGTTTATCCGTTAACAGTCAACGTGTTTGGCGTCTCTTCGTAGCCACAAACACAAAGATCACGACGCACTGCCATTGCCAGGCCCAACAAAAGATTCAGTGAAAAATAAAAACTCACCGTAGCCTTTTGGCCAATCTCCCCAGCGTTGCCGAGCAGCTTCCCAAGTGCAGCTAACTCACGCCAATACTGTACTTGGACCGACGCAAACTCCACCTTGGCAAACAGCTAAACAAGTACCTGCAGAGGCTGTGCGCCCTAGCAAGCCGAGCCGGACGGTATGGTAGCCTCTTCACCCACAAGGCTAATGCCCACAGCAAAGTTTTGGCCTTTTCCATGCTAATCCGGTTCTCATTGACAAAAGCCCATGTGATGTCACTGGGCAGCAGGTTTCCACGTATAGACTACCTTGCAGATATGGGCTGATAGCGCATGTACTAATCGTAGCAACCGCATAGTACAAAGTCTACCCTCTGATGACAGTGGAATACGAAGACCGGAGCAGAACTAACATTCCAAGTGTGCTAACCGGGCAGCTTTTTAGTGGGTAGTCGAGCATCAAACTTTCAGGAACAGGCCGAGGAACAATGCGGAAAGGCTACCAGAAGTTGGGTATCGCGCACGTGTTTGTGCTTTTAGAACTCTGATTATGACAAAGCCACTTGGCTTAGTGCTGCAACAGAGTTCCGCGGAAGCTGCCTGGTATGCCGCAGTGCAAATCAACATTTTACATTTATCGAAAATGGTGTTGATGTGATCTGCCCACCAGTGGCAGCATTGTGCTGATCAGCGGAGAATGGCTTCTAGATTGGTGTGGGCGCCACCGCTGAGCTGTTTACTGCGGCCTTGTGCTTCTTCTTCGCAAAAAAACACGAAAAACACAACACTCGGCGACGGCGCACTCTTCCGAGCTGGCCCGCGGCCGGCTATATGGATAAACTTGGGCTCAACTCCCCGGTCTCACGCACAAGTATCCATTTTGCTTTTACAGCTGGACTGCTGCTAGCTGTTTGAATGGTGCTGGGCAAGTAAGCCCGTGACGTCGAATCATCTAGATGCCAACAATGTGCTGACCCTGAGTCGAGTGCTTGCTCGGCGCTGAGTTGAGGATCAAGTACAGAGGCAGAGGTAAGCCGGACCACTCGTATCGAGACGAAAATCGCCTTGTCTCGGCCACGCCTGAGCAGCTCGGCGGATCGGTTCGAAGGACGGTGTACATACGCAAAATGGGTTTGCTGACGGTGGCCCAGCCACTGGCATTGCCGTTCCGTTGGCAAAAGCAGCCGAAGCGCTCGAAAATGCTTCGTCGGCCGACGGCTAAGCCGCTCCCAGACTAGCACAGGCAGGCCACAACAAGAGCCAATGGCCTGAAGTCGATGCTCATCCCGAGCTGGTGTCGGTATCTCACACGCTCGAGGCCAGCTGTCGCGCCCTGGACCCTTGATGCCGACAGATCAGGACGGAGCACTGCTGATGCTCGCGCCTGTAAATCCGCAATCCCAAAAGAGAGGATAGGATGCACTGATCATGTTGCTTGCCACAATGCCCACCAGGATTTCCTTCCCCTCCCTGGTGCCAAGGCAGGGACGGGAAGCTCATGGATATTAACCCCCCTCCTCTAAACTTCCCAAGAGAGAAGCGCTTGTGTCTCCCCGAAAGGCTGTCGAGTCTTAGCCTGCGCTCTCGCTAAGTCATCGCAGGGTGGCTAGCACCATTCATCGCCCGGCCCCCCCCCAACCCAGAATCGTCTTATCTAGGCAAGATCTCTGATGCGATTGTCTAATCGTATCAACCCTAGTCCCATGTACGAGTACATGGTACGGTAGCACCAGGCTCTGCATCCGCAGAGTGAGGTCCGCTCTCAGACCGACAGTGCTCGTGCTTGTTACGGGGCTCACGCCAGGACACGCACATGGTATCCGTCGTAAGAAGGGTCCGTGGATGTCAGGCCATGCCCAATGCCCAACAAAGGGACAGACAGAGACAGATAGCTAGATGGAGGGAAGGCGAGAAAGCGGTGGACGAGAGTCAAAAGGGAACGACAAGAGCTCTGGAAGAGCCAAGCAAGCGCCGTCAGCACTCTGGGATTTGTGGCCGGAAGCCCCGTCTGCCCGTTGTCCGTCCGTCCCCTGTCGACAAGTCCAGGTGGGCCGTAACTCTTGCTAACGACCATCGACCATCACCACTTCACCTTGGCTCCATCGAATCCTGGTGCAACGCTGATCCACCCACGCCGCGCTGGCACACCCCTCTGACCCTTGTTCGCGGCCAGGCCCTGCGTTGGACGCCCAGCTCCACCCCAAATCGCAAGTCTGTACTCGTACGTGCTTGGTCTCGCAACAAGTACCGTCCGCGCGCCATGGGCCTTTTTTGCTGCGGAACTCCTTCGCACCATTCGGGAGACAGCTTGTCTGCAAGCCTGCAAGCAGTGCGCGCCCAACTGTGGAGCCGGCGCCGTGGCGGAAGAGACCTGCAGATGCTGGCAGGAAGAAGGTTCGTCGATTGCTGCAGCGTTTAGGCCTCTACGGGCGAAGGATGGCAGGATATCGCCCCTAGCCAGAAGCTGACCTGAGGGCGGCGAGAGAGGGCGAAAGAGGGACAAGCAGAGAGAGAGAGAGGTTGGGGAAGAGAGGAGAGGGGCTCCTAGCTGAGGGTGCTAGAGAAGGACAGCGGACAGGCCGGGCGCTGCGCTAGAAGCAACTGGCGCCCGTCTGAGGTACCTGCTGTTTGTATGGCACGAACGTGGAAACACAAAGTACCAGAGCCATTCGATGGGAGGTAGAGGCAGCGCCAGTGCGTTGTCCCTCAGCGCGATAACGGCCCCGACGCAAGCTACAGCGGACAGCTCCAGCGCCGAGTGCCCTGGCGAGGCCCGGGGTATCCTCCAAGTGAAGCGGGCAGTACGAGGCACTGTGCCGTGGAGCAGCCCGGCGGCTGGAGATGTGTCGGGACTGTACTCGTACCTGCGCGCGCCAATGGCACCCAGCGACGGCCGCTGCGATGGGCCTCTGCGCCATGTACCGGTACCGGGATGCCTTGCTCTGCTTGCACAGCACGGTGATATTCCATGTCCATCAAATGCTGCCAGCAGCGCGAGAGAGCCCACACCAGGCCGAGTCGCCAATCCACAATTTGGCCTAACCGCGAAGGGCTGCTTGGCTTGCTCTTGTCCAGACCCCCCTACCCTACCGCTGGCTCGTACGCGCCCAAGGGGGCCGGGACAGGACAGCGCTGGCAAGGTTATGTACAAGTAGGAATACATTGGACTGGATGTACCGGCTGGCTGAGCGGTACCTCGTACGCACCGGCGACTGTGCCCAGCACTGTCCAAGTACAAGTCGCCGCTGGACAGTGAAAAGTACCCTACCGTCCCCCTCCACTGTAACCAACTGGCAGCGCTCAGTTCCCCACCCTGAGCTTGTGCTTGTCCACTCTGAACCTTGACTCTACCGCTATTCCCTGGCCCGTCCCAGGCCCCGTTGGTCTGCTCCCCTCAACCGCCAAAAACAAAACCGTCCCCAGCCTGGCCTGGCGACAGTCTTTTTGCTTCTCTTCCTCTTGTCTTCACGACTCCACCGACCTCCTCATTTTTTCCTTCTCTTCCCTTGTGGTTCAGTTTCCGAGACTGAAAGGCCAGGACCAAGGTAAGTCCAGCATTGAGTCTTTGTCTTTTGTGCCTTGTCCGTTGGCGCCGTCTTATTCCCCACTGCAGTCAGCCGACAGAGAGAGAGAGAGAGAGAGAGAGAGAGAGAGAAGGTCAAGGGAAAAAAAAAAGAAAAAAGAAAAAAGAGAAAAAAAGAGAGAGACATTGCCAACCACGGCTTTCAGTCTCTACATCTTCTCTCTCGTCCGCATAACCCTCCTCTCCTGTCTTCCTCGTTCTTCTTCTCTTTTATTTTCTTTTTTCTTCTTGCGCATCCTCCCCCCCGCCTCTTCTCTCTTATCCGGCATTCAACGCAGCTAATCGGTCTGCATTGCAGTAGTGGGTGACCTGACCAGGAAGCGAACAAACGTCTGCAGTTTGTTTGCACACAGCTGTGGCCCGTCCCAAAGCTTCCTCCACCCTCCAAGCCGACCTTGTCCTTTCAATCGCAGCTCCCATTCCTCTCACTTTCGACTCAAAGTCATCCTTGCCCGGACTTGGTTGCAGCGTCTGTTGCACCGCCCGTCATCACCGACTTTGCCTGATATTACCTCAGAACCAGAACTCGCTGCAAGCGCCTGCAACGATTTGGAGACACCAGTTCGGATGTTACGATTGAGACGAAACGATTGAATTTTTTGATGCCTTGTTACGACTAAAGACGCTTCTTTTACGAGTATCTCTTACTGTTTCGGAAAAGAACAAAAAAGTTTTCGCCTCGTCTTTCTCACCGTTTGCTGTCAAGCGTTTCGATCACCGCTAGATTCTCCCGAGCCCCCGTTTGGACCTTTGGAAAAACCATCCATCTCTCCCAATTGTCTTGTCATTCTTGATTGGCTTTGGACTCTTTCATTGCGAGCGTTCTTTGTTGAGTGGCTAGCGTCGATTTCCATCGCATTTTTTCTTCTTCCTGTCTTGACGAGATTCGATCCTCGTCTGCTCCATCCTCCTGCTCTTACAAGACCAACACCGGAAAGCTGGATTTGCCACACAGTCAAGTGCAGACCCGAGGGCACTCAGACCTCCCGTACTTGGGCTTTCACGCCGCTTCCCGCTCATCGTTTATGAGCAGCGACAGAGTGCCGTCTCTCCCGCCGCTGCCGTACCAGGCAGATTCTTCAAACACCTCTTCGCCCCGAGTTGGGTCCATTGCATCGTCAATTAGCTCTCATACTGGGTCTCTGTCGTCGTATACCTCTGTTTCATCGTCAAACGGCCCCAAGACCCCGTCTCCCACGCTGCCTGCCCAAGCCATCACGGGGCCGGCCACTACCATCGTCAGTTACGACGCGATGAACCAGAGTGCCGACATGTACTACGCCACACAGCACATGTCAGCTGGGCAGCCGCCCCCTCCTCAGACCGTTACTTCTGGCGGTCTGGCGCACTACTCGCAGCATCAATCTCAACTGCTCCCCCCTGGACCTTCGCCGTACTCCAATCCGGCTCCCTACAGCCAGTATGGCTACGCCAATGGCTTGACGTCTCCTCCAGCTCCTCCCCCTTCAGTATCAAATCCCATGGGCAACCCTTCAACTGTGCTGCCTTCCATCCCCGGGGTTGCAGGCCAGGCCCAGTATGTCGGTTTCGATACTACGGGCCAGCAGCCTCCCCCAGGCATGAAGCCTCGCGTTACTGCCACGTTGTGGGAGGACGAGGGCAGCCTTTGTTTCCAGGTCGAGGCCCGTGGTATCTGCGTGGCTAGGCGAGAAGGTACAGTAAACCCGGCTTTGCAGCTCTTTGTTTGAGCGGTTTTCACTAACTTAGCCTGGTACAGACAACCACATGATTAATGGAACAAAATTGCTCAATGTCGCGGGAATGACCCGAGGCCGCCGAGATGGCATCCTGAAGAGCGAAAAGGTTCGCCACGTTGTCAAGATCGGCCCTATGCATCTTAAGGGTGTTTGGTACGTTGAGCCCCTCAGACAAAGGCTATGAAAACACTAACATGGAATTCCTTTCATCAGGATCCCCTATGAGCGCGCGTTGGATTTTGCGAACAAGGAAAAGATTACAGAAATGCTGTATCCGCTCTTTGTGCACAACATCGGCGCCCTCCTCTACCACCCCAGCGCTAATCCGGGAAGGACGAGCCAAGTCATGACCGCTGCTGACCGACAAAGACGTGAGAGCGTCCCAATGCGAAACCCGCCCCCCCCTGGTCTTCCATCCATCGGAGGGCATCACTCTCTTGCTTTGCCCGGTCCTCAGCAATCGCTTCCCTCACAATCTGGCACCAGCCGGCCTCCGCTTGACCGGGCCTTGACCTTCCCCACGCCGCCTACGAGCGCTTCCAGCGTCATGGGAAGCATGGCAACCTCAGAAGGCTTCAACTGGCCGAACCAAGGCATGAACGGATCTCAGGGCGGCAGCTCCATGTCTATGGATGGCGGCATCAGCAGCGCACGCTCGATGCCCAACACTCCGGCTGCAACCCCTCCCGGATCCATTCAGAGCATGCAGCCGTATCCCCCTGCTGCTCAAGGCTATGACAGCCAGCGCCAGATGTACAACGCGCCCCCCACTCAGCAGTCCCCCTACCAGAACTCGGCGAACCCTCCCCCGGATCGCCTGTACAGCCAAGCCGCTTCTTATTCGAAGAGCGAGATGGGACCACCTGCTAGCCGAGCACCTGCGCCCCTCCCGTCTAATGATCAATCTCAAGACAAGGGCCCTAATGGCATTGTCTCTGCCGAGCAGCAGAACCAGAGCCATCCCGAAGAGGAGGGTGAGCATGAGGCTGAGTACACTCACGACAGTGCTTCCTATGATCACGGTCGTGCTCCGTACAACTACAACACTGCCGCAGGCGTGGCCTCCATGAACAATGACGCAAACATGCCATCCGAGATGGCCAACTCTCAAAGTCACCCCCCCGCTTCGGGGCGAGCGACACCCAGGACTGCGGCGCCCCCCCAGCCCTACTACCAGCATCACAATGGCTACAACTCTCCGCAGCGTGTTCAGCAGTCAACCAGCAACTTGTACAATGTGATGACGAACGACCGGGCGCCTACAAACGGCGCTCCTGGCAATGATGTATATGCACCACCTGCCGACATGTCTAGCTCCATGTCGAACGGCTACGCCCCCCAGCCCCCGGTGATGAATGGCTCCGGTGCGGGCATGAAGAGGGGACGGGATGACGACGATGACATCGGTCGGCCCCAGGGCGATGACATGGGAAATCTGGACCTTAAGCGACGAAAGACTATGCTGGAGACAACAGTATCCGCACCTACGTACGACGCCATGAGCCGACCTGCTTCGGCTATCGCTGCTCCCCGCCGGCGGTAAGAAACAAAACACATACACAACATACGTAATCTAACCTTTTCCGCCTTGACGAGTTTCATGTTCCACTGAGTTCCATGTTCTCGAGGTATTGCAGCATCTTCAGGTCAACCACGGTGGGGGGTAGCGGCGGCGTCATGAAATAATTTTTATTTGCAGCGATTTGTGGCACCATTTTTTCTCATTTTCTGCTTCTTCTCAGTTTTTTTCTCCAACGGTGTAACGACATTCCTTGCCGTGTATTGGATTTTTGGTTTCTTTGTACCCGCAGACGACTTCATGGGCTTTCGCACCATGCCAAAGACGCGATGATGAATTCACGACTAGCCATCGATTCTATGTTACTTACGATGCCCTGTCACGGATGTACATGGCTGATGAGTGACGGCTTTTTTCTGCATGGAGGAATTTAATTGCACAAAAAAAGGCGGCACATGGTTGTCGCTTTACTCGTTCTCTCTCATTATCCTTCCCGTGGGCTCTTTGAAGAGGCGGAGTGCTACGGGCGGTGAAGATTAGAGGATTCCTGTAATGATCTCAGGCGAGATGTGGTCGGTTACGGTTGAGAGAGGCTTTTTCTCCCGTGATATTTGGCCTTTTTTGCTATTGTGTCCCTCTGCGATTTTTTTTTTGCTTCTGCTTACCATTTCTTTTTCCTTTTTTTTTTTTTTTTGCCCTTTTGGTCTATTTGGATCGCTTTTTCTTTGCTTCTTCTCTTGCTGCTTGTTAGCTTTTGAGGATTGTTTCTTCGCGAAAGACGTGCGGGTTTTGCTTTTGGAAATGAGAGAAGACGTCGGGGCAAGTCCTGATAATGACCTTATGACCTACCCTTGCTTTTCTCTTCTCTGGTTCTTAGCCATAAAAAGCACTACAGACGGTGCATTGGATGGGTTGCGTTATTAGGTAACGAATTATGAAAACGACAATAAAAGCTATTGAGTATACGTTGAAATCAAAAAAATAGAGTCTTGTGTTTTAGTTTTGTTAAGTTTTAGTTTCCAAGTCCATGATGAATTCCACTGGCCCAGAGCCTTTTGCCTGTTGAAACTCCTTTGTTCCATCAAATGCCAGTCAAAGTGTTGAGGTTGAAGTTGCTCCCATCCAATGCCAGTTAATGGAGTTCGACCGTCTTGGTGGATGGCAGATGCGACAGGCCAGGAACAGCCCGGCCACAGCGAGGCTAGCGCTCCTTTGTTCGTAATTGGCAGCATTCCAGGGACCTAGCCAGTGCCCCTTTCCAGGGTTTCCAGGGCCCTCTGGGGGCATGTTTGGCAACTGTGAAACTCTCGTAATGTCCCCTCACGTGAAAATCAGCGCAGAGCTAGCCCCGTTGCGGCTTAACGCGCAAAAGTTACCGGGTCAACAATGCAGCGCATAAACAACAGAAGCCCTCAATTCACTTTTATTAATAGCAGGCAGGGCCCTGGGCTGGACAAACTACTAAGAACTAGGAGAGCCTACTAAGAAGGCGGTGCGAAAGTTGGCCAAGTGACACCAAAGCTTCCATCTCCATAAACCGAAGCGCAACGCAAACGCGCACACAAACCGCCAGCAAAAAATCGAGAAAAATCCAAAATCAGGGGCGCAAATCAGGGAGGACAGGTTGCGCAACAACCAACACACCGCATTCGCATCATGTCGTCTCCGCTGTCGCCCGCCGCCGACGCAATGTTGAATTCCACCTCGTCAGCGTCAAGCACCGTCAGCGACAAGTATGAGGACGCCTACGATGACATGACCAGCACGCCGACAACAGACGTTTCGCAGCCGGAGCAGTTCAGGCCGCCGTCGCGAATAAGAACCGACGACGCACGCTTTAATCAGGAAAACATTTCGCCCGCCAAATCCCGCCACAGCCGCATTATGTCAGGCACAGAGCTGTCACCGCTCAGGATTGTGGAGAGCCAGAGGAGCTCATTGGACGGCTCGCTGCTCAAGGTGAGTGGAGGGGCTGTGCGCAGCCCACGCAAGGTGTCGCCCGATCGCCGGTTTCCTGTTAAGATCAACCTTTCGGGCGACGTGCCATCGCGACCGACATACGACACGCAGTCGCCCAGCATCGACGAGGTGGTCCAGGACAGCAACGGGCTGAAGAAGCCCATTTCCATTTACGAGGACGGCCCGCGCAGCATCCGCGAGGAGGACGAGGCGGGCATGGACGACACCGAGAGGCTGCACCGCGGCGATGCCACCGCCAACGACGAAGACTTCACCATGGACGTCAGCACCTTTAGCGCCTTCTCCGCAGTGCCCAACATGGCCATGCTCGCAAAGCTGGGGCAGACGCCCAACGGACGACGCGAGTCCTCGGCCAAGAGAGCGCATCACACGATGGAGGACGACAACTCCAGCCTTGCGGATTTCGGACGCTCTCAGAGATCTCCTCCCGGCAGGCGAGACGTCTTGTCGCCTTCCCGAACCACGCCTAACCTGGCATCGACATTGACCCCCAGCCGCCAGCTCTCAAACCTCCTCGATAATGACAAGACGCCCAGGAGCATTCCGTCCATCACCCCGCGGGAGCTGGAGACGCTCAAATCCGACTTTTTGTCTCAAATTTCTTCCCTCAAGGCTTCGCTGAGCGGCAAAGAGGCAGAAGTGCAGTCCCTCAAGACGGCCGTCACGGATGCTGAGAAACGGGTGGGAGAGTCGATGGAGAGGCTGCGCGAGGAACGTGGCCTGAAGGAACAGATGGAGGGCGTGCTGCGCATTGTGAGAGAAGAGATTATCGAGACGCAGAGAGAGAAGGAGGACTTGGAGCAAGAGCTGGAGGAGAGCGAGATGCGAAGAGAGGCGTCGGAAATGATGCACCAAGAGGCAGAGAGCAAGCTGGCCGGCCTGCGCGCTGGCAGGGAAATGGAGAGAAACGCATCCCCCGAGAAGCCCAAGGACACGCGAGAGGTGGAGATTGCCGTTGAGCGAGTAGCGCGAGAGCTGCACGGCCTCTACAAGACCAAGCACGAGACCAAGGTTGCGGCGCTGAAGAAGTCATACGAAAACCGGTGGGAGAAGAAGGTGCGGGAGCTTGAGGCCAAGATCCAGGGCCTGACAATGGAGAACGAGAAGCTGAGGGCTGGCCACGACTCCACCATGACCATGGTCGACCATGCCGATATGGAGGAGTGGAAGGCCCGTTCTGTGCGCGACAACGCCATGATCAGAGAGCTAGAGGCGGATGTTCAACGACTGGAGGCGGTCATCTCGACGGTGCGCCGCGACAATGACGAGCTGCGTGTCAACCTGCAGCAGGAGAGAGTCGAGAAGGGAGAGCTGGTGCAGCTCGCGGAGGAGCTGATGGCCATGCAGAACCTTGCTGCTGCTCCAACTCCAGCGCCGCAGCGTCAACAAACTGCACCACCGGCGGCGCCTCAATCGCCACCACCTCAGTCATCCCTGCGTCAGCCGGAGCGAAGAGAATCGGTGTCGAAGAAGCCGGCGCTGGAGCGATCAGACTCGGTGTCCTCCAAGACGTCGTCGAGGGCCAACCCGAACCGCATCTCCGTCTCCGGACTCAGGGCGCCGGGAACGGGGCTCCGGCCGCCGCACGAGCGGGGGAAGAGCAGCATCGGAGGAGGCTTGCCTCGGCCGGGTGGCGCAAGGGGCAGCGGCATCTTGAACTCTATTGAGAAGATGGGCAATTACAAGGGACGCGATTGATTTTCCATTGCAATTTACGATTAACCCACGTTTGGCCCCCCTTCCCCACGGGGCTGAAAAGGGAAAAGACAAAGACGAACACGACTTTTACGGCC